AATAAAAGTGCAGAATTTACACTTGCAAGATGCAAAGGATTAACTACAAATGGAAATAAGGAATTAGTCTATTGCATAAATGAAAGAAATTGAGAAAGAAATAACATTTTCATTCTTCCCTTTATCATCATAATGACAACTCCTCAAAAAACTGGTCCCAAATTCAAGTTTTCAAACATTTGAGACATTTTTATTATTGATATTAATACAATTTCCAAAATAAGTATCTGCAAGAAAAATTCATTAACATATGATAGAAACTCTGGCCAAATCCAGTATAACCTTGAAATCTTCCACTCTATTCATTCAAATAATTATTTAAAAATATATAGTTTTATAAATCAAAAAATAACGTCAATAGTTTGTTTTTACTGAAATACTAGTTTTCAAATCTAAACATTAAATTTTACTTTCTTTCTCATGAAAATCAATATAAATTACAAAAATACAATAGATTCTGTTTATTATAATCATTTTGGAACTTGTCTATACTAATGCTAACCAACTGATAACATTAAGTGGTGTAAATAAGTAAGACTACAATTACTGGATATTCTGGTTTATATGACTGACATTAAATGAACATGTTAAATCAAAAATATATAACTTGAAGATTTGTAAATTATAATTGTCATCAATTTACATGTTTCAAGCTGATGACTGATGAACTGATGATAATATATGCTTACAATAAATAAATCCAATTGTACTTAAACATATACATAAAAAGTTAGTTCTTTAACTTAGTATCAATTAAATACAACCCAAATAAAAGCAGCTTGTATAATTCAAAATTTCAAGTAATTAAAATAGCTTACATTGGGCTGCAATCTGAAAAAATGAAATAAATTGTAATACATTGTAAATACATAAAGAGCCATACTGACTGAAAAATATTTTATTGGAAAAAATTATGAAATCATGTACTACTATTAGTTGTCATCAGGTAAACAATCGAATGTCAATTATAAGGTCACAGACAGCAAAATCACTGAAAACATACAATATAATTGTTTTTAAAAATCTGGACCACTAACACTTGGTTGGGCTATGCCTATTAGCTATCACTGCCATGTACCTTTGTGGCATTGATTCAATAAGAGCCTATATTATGCAAATCATACACGAATTTTGTCATTTTAGTGTACTTAGTGAAATATATTTTCAAAATTAGTATCTAACAATAATGGGTGATGTGGTTTTTCTAGAACCACTGTATGTAAATAATTATGAGATCTAATAGGCAATAAGTTAATAAATAGTATAAATACACTGGTATAAATAGTCAGCTAAAGCATTACTAACTGTTTAAATAGTAATATAAAATAAAATAGCTTCATTGTCTAAAACAATTTGTATAAAGATTAGCAATGTAAAAACAATGAGCAATTATTTATTGTGACATCATCAGAATTCCAGGCTGCAATTTTTAATCATATTTTTTTAAATTTATTTATTTGCTCTTCACCTCAAATTAGTAGTCTTGCTCTTGTACTGTACATCATACTTTTTCTGTTAGCAAGCCCCTGTACATCATACTTTTCCTGTTGGCAATAGAGTTATGCCGGTCATCTATATGATTCCTTTCTGGAAAAAATTTTTTAATTGGAATAACATAACTTCCAGAACTTGCATCAGAAGTTCATATTAATTGGGGCCTCCTGCCCCTAATCTTTCCTTATCCGACCTTGGCTTTCATATATCTAATTCTGTTTTTGGGATTAAGGAAGGAGAGAAACAGAAAGACAGACAAACGGACAACATTGAGGATTTGTATGTCTATAATTTTTTCAAATTGCAGTCCAAAAATACATCACAAAAAGAAAAATACCACCAACTTACTGAGTTATCAAAATAACAATCTCACAACCTTTTCAATCAGTGAACACTTTAATGCAAATTGAGCTAACATTTTATGCTATTTTTGTGTTTGAGAATATGTTCTTGTTATTTTCTGTTCTGTTGATTAGAAATATACATTTCTAATATTGTTTAATATATATATACATTTCTCATATACATTTCTAATTTAATAATAATATACATTTCTAATATTGTTTAATATAATATGTCTAATATAATATTGTAATTCTAATAATATTTTCTGTTCTGTTGATTAGAAATATACATTTCTAATCAACAGAAAATAACAAGAATTCAAAGTTCAAAACAGAAGTTCAGAACAGTTTAAAACATTAGTCTGATTTGCATTAAAGCATTCAGGGTGATTGAAAAGGTTGTAAATAATCAGTTATGACTGTTTTGTCATAACTGATCATTTACAACATTTTGATAAATATATCAACTAAATTTGGAAATTATAGTTTTTAAAATGTTGATATCATAAAAATTAAGCATTTGGATTAAAATCTCTTCCAATTAACTTCAAAAGCAACAACTGCTAAGAATGTTAAAAAATCATCGCAGTTAATCATTTACTTAAAATACAATAGTATTAATTAATTAAGGATGCATCAATAAGCAAAATGGCCAATTACCAATTAATCAGACATGCATTATTGGCCAATACCAATTAATCCGCTGATTAGTGTTAATAATTATTGTGTTAATAGTTAATTATATTATGATTATTATCGCATGAAATTACGTATTCTTAATAAAAATATAAAATTTCATACAATAAAAATAATTTTCAAATATGAAGCTATTTTTTTCTTTTTCAGATTCATGTATTAAATTAAAATGATAAATTATTATTTTGAAAAACTTAAAAAAATTTTAATTAATAGCCATATCCAAACCCCTCACGGTTTCCAGTATTGCTTGGAAATTTTTTAGGAAAGATAAAAATGAGAAGCTTTCCAAGTTCAATTTTTGCCAGACTTCTATATCAAGAGGTAGAAATATGCTAAAACTTTTACCACCAAAAACATGATAAACCATATCACAAAATGTCGTCACGAAAACTTTTTAAAATAAACTTAATAGACGAAAAGAGAAAGTTCCAAAACAAAAGAAGCTGGATGTTCATCAGTAACAACAGAAACTCATATCCAAAGACAAACTACTTTAACTCTATTAATAGAGAAGAAAAAATTGTGGAATATAAATAATCAATGATCCAAAGAAGTTCATTATTTGATTGGATAAATGGTAAGTGTAGATATACAGCCATACTCTGTTATGTCCAATTTAGGATTTCAAAGATTACTAAAAAAAAAACATTCCTAATTAAAATATTCCCAGCAGAAAATATTTTTCTGAAAATATCATCCATGATATATTTCAAAAAGCTATTGATGATGCAAAAATTCAGAAAGCTATTGATGATGCAAAATATATTTCTTTAACTGCTGATATTTGGACAGCAACTACAAACAGTTCTCCTTTATTAAATATAACAGTCCTTTTTGTGTAATGTACATGTAACGAATTATTGTATACCCCTGCATCATGGGCTCTGCCTAGTATGTCTAATTAAATAAATAAATAAATAAAATAAAATATAACAGTCCACTGGTTAAAGGGTGATTTTCAGCAAGAAAGAGCTGTTTTGCAAATTGTTCACTTTGAAGACTCCCACACAGCTATACGAATCAGTGAACAGATAAACATTGTTCTTAAACAGTATAAGTTGACAAAAGTCATAAGATTTTCTTAGTACTGAGAGATTCTGGAGCAAATATGGTAGCTAGAATCAGGAATTGCAACTTAGAGGCATTATCATGCTTTACACATATACTGCAGCTGACACTAAACAAATGGAAATTTTCTCAACAAGATGTGAAAACTATAATCACAGTTAATAGAAATATTGTCACAAATTTTATTCATTCTGCTATAGCTGTAAGCAAATTGGAAGATTTACGACAAGTTAGGTTTGCAGAAACACAAATTAATTCAAGATGTTCCTACTCATGGGATTTCTACATACTACATGTTGCAAAGAAACTTGAAATAACAAAAAGTCCTTGTCACATATGCTATAGATAATAAAATTCCTACGTTGAGCACATATCAGTGGTCTCTCGTTGAAAAAATTGCTCTACTTTTAAAACCATTTGAAGAAATTACTGTGGAAGCCAGCAACCGAGAAATCATCTCATCTTCAATAATTCACACAATAGAGACTCTGAAATTATTCTTATTATCAAAAGCAAAGAGCAGTAGTTCCTTTAGTGGCATTAATACCACAATAGAAGGACCAGAAAATTCAATAAAAAAAATTTTCAGCATATATAGAAAACAGGTCTTTATGCTTGTCATATTTATTAAATCCAAGATTCAAAATGAAATTAAAAAAAAAAAAAAAAAAAATGGGCAATTGATAGCTTAGATGATGTTGATAATTCAAAATCTCAAGAAGAATTAAATCCTGAAGCTTCTATTTCTGGAGATGATCAAGATGGAGGATAATCTCTAAGTTTTTCTAATTTATTTGATGAATTAGCTTCTGGTAAACAAAAGAATGAATAAGAGAATGTTTTTAAAAAGGAAGAAAAAATGAAACAAACGAACAAACGTTTCAAGCAACAATTAGAAAAATATTTACATTTACCTCTTATACAAAGACATAGTGACCCATTTTTGTGGTGAAGTTCAAAAGAACTTTTTCCTAATTTGAGCAAAATAGCTATGAAATATCTAAGTGCTCCAGCATCTTCCATTGAAAGTGAAAGAATTTTCAGCACTGGCGGTAACATTTATGGACCGACAAAAAATAGGCTATGCCCTGAAAATGGTGAAATTCTCATGTTTTTTGCATTACAATTTAAGCGTTTTAAAGTTTGAATATTAAATTTTTATTTGTTTTATATATTTCAAGTTTAAACTTTAAACAAAAGAAATAGCTTTGAATAGATTATATAATACCTTATAATCAGTGCTGGTGGTGTAACAGCAAAAAAGGAGGACAAAAGCAAGGTGTTTGCCTGTGTGAAAAAGTCATATTTATATTTTTATTTATTGAATAAATTCAATCCATTTTTTATATTTTTTCAACAGATTAATCAAATTTGATATATAGTGTGTGTTTANTTATTTACAACATTTTTATTGACTTTATAGAAATAAACCTTAAGTTTACTTATTAAATACAAAAAAATTTTTGATATTTTCACAAATTACTTTTGCACTTTGTAACAATACTGCTAACAACATTTACATGTACCTATCAAATATTGTTCTAAATTGATTACAACCAAACCTAACAAAATTTTATGTTATATTCTTCTTGCTTTTCTTGCTCTAACTCCAGGTTCTGGTACTGGTGTTTTATCAGTAATTGAAATAATATCCAATCCACCCATCTGAAGTCCTTTGATAGAAGACTAGAAAAAGAAGAAAAATAAAATAAAATTAGAATCATTTACAAAACTTTAATATCTGTTTTAAAATTTATGTTGTTATAATAAATCTTATATTTGAATTAGAAAAGACAAAAAATTTTTGATTTGATAAAACAGCAGTTAGTAGCTTCTCTCTTCCAATAATTAAAAAAAAAAAAAAATCATTTCTCTCAATAATTAAATATATACACAAATAAATAATATAAAACCTTCAACACTTTTTTCTAGCAATTTCTTTAATCAAATTAACATTTTCGGCTATATTTAATGGCCTTCCTCAGGTTCGACAATATTGGAACATCAGATATTCGATTAAATAAATTGCTAGAAAAAGTGTCAAAGGTTTTATATTACTTATTTAATGGTTTTATATTTATTTATTTCTGTGCATAGAATTATCTACATAAAGCATGTTTAATTGCTTTATGTAGATGACTACTACATTAATATACATTAGAATAGAGTTTTATTTTTGATCATTGTAAAAACAACACTGAAAAATATCATCAAAGTATGTGATTTACAAAAACTTTGTTTCTGGTTTATTCTAAAATGGAATTGGTAATGGAAATAGCCAGTATTAAAAGTAGCATTCTTTCTGATGGAAAGCAGGTGTTACCTTTAGTACTATTTAAATCTTCTTACTTTATAGTAGCATATGTTGTTTGAATAAATTGGAATAAATGTGCTTTTGGAATACGAAATAGAATGCCTTCTAAAGAAGTTCAAAAGTTTAAAGACCAGCTTGCAACGGATTTAAGTAAATGCCTGAAGAAGAGCCCAGAAGGGGTGTCTAAAATGTTAGCACTAAAGAAACATATTTTGCTCCAGTTATTTGGTTTGAAGTAAGAAGATTTAAATTTCAACCCGGTGTGTTAGGAAGTTAAATAATTTAGTACTATTTGTTCCATCTAGTTTTAGTGTAGTACTCTGATTAACAGTTGCACCAAAATTAGATGGTATAGACTAAAATGATCTACTTCTTGAACACATAAGGAAACAAAGAAATTACTATCATCATATCACTTTAATAACAAATTATCAAATATGGATTAGTATTAAAACCAGACCAAAACTCCCAAAAAACAACAATCCAAAAAGAAAACAAAAAGAAAACAAAAAGACAAATCTGACAATAGCTTAATAGTCAAAGCTTAACTACTGACCTATTTCCTCCTTGCCTAGCCACAGTTTAATAGACCATACATCTACAGTTGTTATTGCTAAAACCTTTACCCACATTCCAGTAGAAACCACTCATCACTACAGCCTACATCTTCAAGAAAGATGCCATTGATTGAAAAGAGTAGCTAAGTAGCTTTTTCAAACTTCCAAAATTTGTTCATGAGATAGTATCATAAGAGGATGCTTCTCTAATTACTGATATTGTTTGTATTTTGTTTGTATGTAAGTGACCCCTTCATATTCGAAGAAGGACGAGTAAACCATCAAGTGTGTTAAATCCAACACACTTGATGGTCCACTCGTCCTTCTTCTCTAATTACTTATGTACAGTACATCCCATTGTTTAATATTGTTTGGGTTACATTTCTGTTGCTACAACATTTACGCATTAGACTAGTGTTCTCTCTGTAAACCTATTTCTTAAGTAAATATCAATTGAAATTTTACCAAGTCAGTATTTATTTTTGGACCTTTTAGGACAATGCACACAATGTAATGTCTCAAGTTATTAAAATTCAATTGCTGATGTAAAGGCTTTGGGATTAATCTGAAACAGTCATGAGGCTATCTCAAACAGGGTTCCTAGTCTCAAGTTATTTAATAGTGTGAGGCTATGGACAGGTCCGAACCCTCACTAAAATTCGCGTTAAAATAATTGTTTTAAAGAAAATAATATATTAGTTAGAAATACATTTTTATGATATGAAAATGCGACGCTAACTTGTAAACAATAGAAGAATGTAAGTCCGTCGACCATTTCCGGTTGGAGATCGAATTAAACTTCGATTTTGACCTCTCCCGCGCCCCGAAAGGTTTCGAATTGTCATCAGGTGATGACGGGAAACCAATCGGAAAGGGGAATCTGAGAGAAAACAGATAAAACCCCGGAAATTTGAGGACGCGACGGCTTCTTCTCCCGAAAGTTCCAAGTGACGGATCTGTTGTTGTGTGTGTGTCTCGCACCCATCTTCGTCNCGACTATCTGGACATTTGGACTTTTATCTTTGGAAAGGATTCGTTTCCCACCTTTGAATAGGCATTACGCCTCGTTATAAGACATTGTAAGAAAATGTATATATTTAATAAACGGGTTAAAAATGGTAAACCTGTCTCAAAGAGTCATTCTGCGCCCACACGACAGAAAGAACCGCTCGGCTGTCGAACACCTCACCCCTAATCGGCTGACCTCACAATATCACATATCATCGTTCGTCGAGTTTTTTAAATTTCTCCCCCCTCGGCCCCCACAATAGCAACACAAAAGGGTTGAGAATATCACATGGTACCAACTCATTCAGTGAGAACATTCACTGAACAAAATTGTGATACATGACACTCCCAATATATATATATATATATCTAAATAACAAGAATATGTTGCTACTCAAATAAAGTAAATTAATAATAAATTAAAAATAAAAATACAAAGATTGCAATAACCTTCAATATGATTTTTGATTCCTTTGAATATGGATTGACTGCCTCAGACCAGTAAAATATCTAAAATTAACTAAAACATTAAACTCTAGAGTGAAATACAGCTAAACAATGTTGTCATATTATATTACAGTATATATGCAGCATCAGATGGGCAACAAATTTAAGCCTCCTACCATGTTTTGAAACCATGTCATATTTTTTATATTTGTTCTATAAGTGTAATGTAGCATAATAACGATCACTTGGTATTATTCACTTCTTTATTTCACTTTTCGTTGATCCATCTGCTGATAATTTGTGAAATAAATTTATTTCACAAATCATCATCAGATGGATCAATGAAAAAATTTAAGCCTGGGAACATACCAGTTATATAAAAAAGATGGTCACAACTTTAAGGTGTGATAGAACATGGCAAAAGTAACAGATGTCATAATACAATAAATGGTGGAATGTGAACACGGAAACATAATAAGTACAAAGAACATGGAAAACAAAAAGTCGTTTTAATCACAGATATTTACAAGAAATGATGTTTTGTATTTACAAGAATTGTTCAAATGAGTGACCACCAAATGCAATGCATGTATCAAAACAGAGATGGAGTGATTGGAATACATATTGGAAGAAACCTGGCATGTCACTTCCTTCTGCAGCAGTGGAGCTAATTCTGGCAACAAGGTCATCTTCAGGAGAATCAATGGGTATCTCAAAATGCATATCTGCCTTCTCAGCATTCAAACACTGTTGCAACTCTGCAGCTATATAACTTCTGAATAATGATGTGTGCAAAAAGAAGCCCCTCTCACCAGCAAGTGCTCTCTTGCAGCAAAATCCCTTGGCTTCTGATCACACATTGTATTACAACAATTGTTAATTTTACCATGATCTATTACCCTTTAAATTGTGTCAATCTTTCCTGTTATACCCTGTAGACCCATATCCCATATAAACTCTATATACATATAGTGAGTGGCCAATTTATTATGACCACCTGCAAAGTTTATGCAAATCAGCTATGATTGCACTCTATTGTCACCAGAGTGAGACTGGTATAAAAAAAGGATTGCTGGATGATTGTATAGATAGTTATAGGGAACGGCATGTGAAGATTTGGGTAAAAGATATAATTTAACAAAATCTGAACGTGGAGTGAGTATAAGTAAAACTGCTTAGCCTGTGAAGTGTTCAAGAGCAGCTGTTGTTCAATTATACAAAGAGTGGATTACCAAAGAAAAAATTGTCTTTCCCGATCCAGAACTTTCCAAACCCTTCCAGAAAAATAATGGACTATTGGTCTCAACGGATATCTCAACAAAATCTATTATCACTCCAGGAACATCCTCTACAAAAGGTATTTATCACCATACAAACCTCATGTGAACTCTCTCTCACACGACCTCAGGCACATTTAGACGGATTTTACTTGATTCGAACTCATTAACGATACATGTATAAAATGTATATAATTATATAATTTTCTTTAATAATAAACAATTGTCAAGTAACCTAGTCTCTGTGTGCATCCCTTCCCACTTGCTACCTCACGGTCTCCATCTCGAATCCATTTGCTCATTCACACAACCGCTTGCATGACCTATTTTCTAAACAAACTGCCATTGTGGCTTCTGGGTCAATTGGGACCCGGTGGTGTCATTCCTGACAGGGCACCAAGGAGGTGCCGAATCCTGTGGTCACAATATTTGATGATTCCGGGTGCTGCAGTTTTTCTTTCTTTGTGATAGAAAAATGTAATGTGACTGTTTTAAGCTAAATATTTTATACTAGTAGCCCGGGACGCCCCCTAGTGGGCATTGTTTACAAATTTCCATGAAACACGGTTCCTTTGACTTTTTTGTTCCTATCAATATGCTCTACAGCTCTGTTAAAGTCCCAATGGTAAAATTAGGTGAAGAGGTGGCGACCCCCCAAACTGTAGCCCCCTGTGCAAACAATAAAGGCAAAGGAACCATACCCATATTCGCAACCCTTCGTGAGATATAAGCCCCTGAAATAATAAATTCCTATTACAAATATACTATTTATATTGTTATATTGACCAAATAATAATTTATTGGCCAAATGAATAATAAAAATTTATATTGTTAATTTAAATAAGAATTAAAATTGTTAATTTGAATGTTTGAAATATGACACACGATAGGGGCGCCTCTAGTGTCCATTATCAAACGGTTATGGGACGGACGGACGGATACCCGTTGAATGGGTTATTTATATAGAGTATATATACACTAGAAACTCTCCCATCAAGCATGAAAGATTATTTTTTATGAGAAAGTAGAAATTGAAGAATTGAGAAAAGCTCAAGTCAAGCTTGACATTGTGATGATTTTTCT